AATAATAATAATAATAATAATAATAATAATAATAATAATAATAATAATAATAATAAATGTAAGAAAAACTCAGCCATATCAGACCAGAAGCTTACCAGGTCCAGCATTCTGTTCCCACAGTGTCTAACAAAAGACCACCAAAACATTTGTCATGTTGTGCAGGATCTGAGGTGTTGCTTGATAAAGAAATACGGGAAACCAGAAGTTGCCTTAAAGCTTTACATTTTTATTCAGCTGAACAAAGATGGGCCCCTCTAAAAGAGAGAAGCCCCAAATGACAGGAAATCCCTATATTTATACTTTTTGATTACATAAGCAATCCACCCAGCAAAGCTGACACACGTAAGATAAAGACTTCAACCAGAAAGGCTGGCACACCATAGATAAGGGAGAAAGCAGAAGTAGCTAAAAATGTTCCTTAAAAAATGTTTCCCTAAAGACATTGCATGTTCTTAGGGATATTGGGTGTTTTCCTTGCTATCCTCTCATGACCCTGTATCCATGACTCTGCAAGTGCCCAAAGACAGCAGGGCCGTCTGCACATATTCACAATTAATACTTTCTATGTTTTCCCCTAATTCCAGGTCAACAATCAAAATGCCCATCCATGAATAGGAACCTACTAATATTCTGCTAATATTCAGTGATGATAATAACCATAGACATCATAACTAGCAGCTCTTGATGCAATTATTTGGTGACAACTATTCTGTTGCAAGTGATACAATAATAAAGCTTTTTTGAATAGCATGTGGCAGGAGGTTTCACAAGGTCACATGGGATTAGAAGCCAAATGCAATATGGAGACAATAACTTATTTCATTAGCGCCAAGCCATGTTTTCTGAAATCATGGCTTACCAAATACATCTCGGTTAACAGAGAATGCTAAACCATAAAGTGAAACTTGCAAATCACAGTGGCAGATTGCACACAACATGCTAGGCAAGCCAGAAGCCACCAAATTACCTTATCAACGTGCAGAACTTATGAACTTAGAACTGCTTAACAATGAGATGCATGTTCAGATATTTCTCCATAGGGACCTTATTTAAATTGGGTCATTGTGGTGGCTGGGATTTGAATTAGCTCATTAGCTCATAGGTGAATATTTTTGTTTTTCTCTTTGATTAGAAACATTTTTAGCTTTGTTTCAAGCTTTAATGTTGCTGTCTTCCTTTCCATATTTTTCAATGTTACTGCTGGATCAGAGCTATGACCTTACATGCTCTAAGGGTGTAGAGGTGGAGAAAAGAGTTTGGGAAACTTCAAAGTATTTTGGTGGGTTCCTTTTTCTTGCTGCAAAAGACCATGTTGCAAAGTGAGATGGCTGCAGTTGGAGTCGGGCACATTTGCATACAAATATATCCTTTGTTCCCCAAGACGACAACATGTAGTAGCAGAAATGTATAATAAAACTAATATATCTGGCTGGGGGAAAAAATGATGGTGCTTGATTTGTTAAAATCCTTCATAGAGTGGCTGTGTTTTCACCTTTGGAGATGACAGTGCAGGACAATTAGGACACAACTCTTCAAAGGCTGGCCCTCAGAAAATCGATGAGATTGATGGTCCAGTTTCCCAAGTGTCCTGTGGAAAGTATGTACCATCTCTTTCCTTCCGCATCTATGTGAGTGGTTGTGCATGTGTTTTTGAGGGAAATTGATATAGCTTATGTAAAAACAAAATCTGTTTAAAGTGCATTGAGCACTTCTAACATTTTGGAGGCTGTTGGTTTACCAGGAACTTTAGATGACGAGAGGACTATACATCTGAGACATATTTAGTGAACTTTTATTAAGGTGGCTGTTCTAAATCATAACAATCCAAAACAGATACAGAGCAGAGTTGTTCATATGGGAAGCTGACAGTGTTTTGGTTTTTCTGCAGCTATCACACCCTTTGTTTCTCTGCTTCTGGGCAGTTGTGGTCTTTTGGACGTGGTTTCCTGCAGGACACAGGAAGTCCGGGATCGGATAGCAAACAGGAAGAAAGAAAGTGTATCGACATCAGTGCTCTTCTGGGCCCTAATGGTACCTTTTCAAATCCAGAATCCAAAATAATGTTAATACAATAATGCAGGGGGGGCAACATACAGTCATATCTAAGCACATTTAAGACATTCCATGCCTTATCTTTGAAAAGTGACACCTAAAAGTCAGATTTGATTTGAATATATTTTATTCAGTGTTTGCTGATCTTTTTGACATTCTGATCAAACATTTATGGAAGTTCTTTGGGTCAAATCTTTTTAGATTTTTGTGTTGTGCCGTACTGTAAAAATCTAACCCACAACTCTGGGTTTTTTTTATCATCAAGATCATCCCGAAACTTTGTGAAGTGGTTTGGGTTGAGATTTAATGACTAGACATAAATCACCCAATGTGCTTCCATGGCTGAAGGTGGACTCAAAACTGGTTATACTTTGTCCTAAATCAAGACCTTAATTTTTATTTGATTTGATTTGTCAGATTTAGATAATGTCCATCTCATTCACAGAGTCCCTCTAGGTGGTGTACAGTTAAAAGCATAAAAACATAGCATTTAAAAATGCCGTGTATCAGTAAAAGGAGCCAGATAGAAGTAAAAATAAAATAAATTGAAAAGGTGGAGGGAGGATCTTAAGGTGCCAACCAAGATTGAGTGCTTTCTGGAGCCCAATATTATCATGGTCTGAGTTAATTTTTAAATGTGGGAATTAGGAGACTGTTTTTTTCTGATTTCTGAGAGAGCAAATATCATAATTTCGGGGGTTGATTATCTGGCAGCTTTTGAAGTTCAGAACAGGATATTCTGCCATCTCCAGGTGACAAGAATTGGGAAGAATACAGATGAATGTGCATTTATACTGGTAGAGAAAAAGGATGCAGTAATTTTAGGAGTCTCACATTTTAATCAGCTGGCAGGAGGGTAGAAATAGAGAATTATATATATATGTAATTCATAGACCAGTGAAAGTAAAATAAAGGGGTTTTTAATACAGTAAATTCTGAAATTCTAATTTATTTATTTATTTATTTATTTATTTATTGTTTATATTTATATCCCACCCGTCTCCTTGCAGACTCAGGGCGGCTAACAACCAGATAAAAATACAAAATACCAAAGCTACAGATTAAAACTTGATTAAAAAACAAATATTAATAATTGGTCTAAGTAATTTAAAATTATTTTAAAACCCCCACTAAAAATTTTCCCCTAGGCCAGTCCCTCAAGCTGGAATAACCATGTCTTAAGGGCGCGGCGGAAGGAAGGGAGATCAGGGATCACCCTGATCTCTGGGGGTAGTTCATTCCAGAGGGTGGGAGCTCCCACAGAGAAGGCCCTCCCGCTTGGGGTTGCCAGCCGGCACTGTCTGGCCGACGGCACCCTGAGGAGACCCACTCTGTGGGAGCGTACAGGCCGATGGGAGGTAATCTGCGGCAGGAGGCGGTCTCGAAGATATCCAGGTCCGATGCCATGGAGCGCTTTAAAGATGATGGTCAGCACCTTGAAGCGCACCCGGAAGGCCACCGGCAGCCAATGCAGCTCGCGCAGCAGCGGTGTTACATGGGAGCGACGAGTCCCTCCCAACATCGCCCGCGCGGCCGCATTTTGGACTAGCTGGAGCCTCCGGGTGCTCCTCAAGGGGAGCCCCATGTAGAGAGCATTGCAGTAGTCTAGGCGGGAGTTGACAAGGGCATGAGTGACTGTGCGCAGGGCGTCCCGGTCCAGAAAAGGTCGCAACTGGTGGATCAGGCGTACCTGATAGAACGCCCCCCTGGTCACGGCCGCCAACTGGTCATCCAGTGTCAGCCGTGGATCCAGGAGGACACCCAGATTGCGTACCCTAGCCGTGGATCCAGGAGGACACCCAGATTGCGTACCCTAATCTCTTAATATGCACAACATTTTGGTTGCAAAATTAAACTTAATGCATGATTGGGGTGAGCACAATATTCTCCTTCTGTTTATCATGAAAAGAAAATATAGCTCTATTAGTGGAGAACAAGAGAACTTCTGCATGTTATGTTAGAAAGTTTAATGAAAAAAAAAGAAATTTGAGGGATAAAACAATTATAAGAAGCAGGTGAATTTCTTCTGGAAGTTTCAGAAGCACCTCCACACTATAAATCCCAAAAGAAAGAAAGGAGAAGAAATTATAGAAATATTGTACTTAATACAATAATAATAATAACAACATCTGTGCAACAAACTATAATAATAATAATACACTTATTTTCATATCATTGTAGAATTGTTGGGAGTCCACGTTTTTGCTGGAGCATATGTCAGCTTTGTCAATATATTTCAGGTAATCTTTTTATTTCTTTTGTAAACTATATAGACTTCAATGTCATTATCAAACCATCAGAATGCTAAATTAATAGTAGGCTTTGTAGCACTTCAAATAGAAGATGTTGTAAAGACACTATATGTTGATAATAGGAAAATAACTAAAATCCTGAAGTTCGATCCTGTCTTGGACCCAAATTTAGATACGGTACTTAATAAACACTTTCAATTTTTCTTTTCTGTGTCCTCTAGAATAATGGTTGAGTAAACACATCAGTTTAAGCCTTTTTAAGCATAATTCATTGAATAGATCATCAGTTGGGATCACTAAGCCTGTTGTGACATGAACTATGATACAGTCCACATGGACTGAATTCGCACAATATACAAAGAGAAGCCAAACAATCCATTTTAGAAGTTCATATGATATGTCCAGATCACTTGTCCAATGCATCCCCCAAAGCCTTGGATACATTTTGCAGAGGACCCCCAATTACCAAAAAATGCTTAATGAGACAGAAGATGGAAAATGTGAAATATATGACTGGAAAGTAATCTCATTAAAAAAATTAATTTTAAACATACAGAATTGTAAATGATTTCTTGAACGACCGTCTCCTCGCTCAATAGCATTATGTAGTTCTTGGCCCAGAGAAAGATGGATGCTATGGGCTTAGCACAATATGTGAACCCACTTAATATCTGCAAAGTACTTTCTACATCTGTGTGTACAAGTAGTCCTTGACTTATGAGCGGTTGCTTAGTAACCGATCAAAGTTATGAAGGACTCTCCCAAAAGCTATTTATGACCAGTTCTGAAGTTAAAAGGGGTACTCCCCAATGGTCACATGACCACATTTTGGTTGCCTGGCAACCAGCCCACATTTACAGCCCTTTGCAGTATCCCACAGTCATATGACCACAATTTACTATGTTTTTACCGGAAACTGGCATTTATTTCTGGTTTCTGACAAAAAAACAAAACAAAACCCATAGCGAACGATGGGTTCGCTTTATGATTGCCACAAAAATGTTCATAAAATTGGGTCAGTCACATGATGACACACTTTACAACCATAATTGCCAGGCTCATTTATAGTCATAAATGAAGGACTACCTGTATTTTGTAAATGCAGCTATTCTAATAAGTACCAACTTGCCTAAATGAAATGTGTTTTTAGACTGCACACGAAAGTTTCTTCGCTAGACATTTGGATAATTCGTCAACTTGCAATGATAGTTTCCCAAAAGTTGAATTTCCCACTTTCTACAGGAACATGAATGAGAATTGACCATGGATCTCAGCCATCTCAAAAGTTTATATTATGAAGCATCGGTTATGTGAGATAGCAGCCACATTTTTTTCACTTGGGTTTCTCTTTATTAAGGCTTCTGCATGTGCTAATGCAACCACCTCTTTGGAAGTCTTGCCTAGGATCAGCCAGCTGGACAGAGGACTGATTGAGAAATGGAAGTCAACAGAAATAGGAAGCGAAGCACAGCAGGATGCTAAAAGGTTGCTACTTGTATTGCCTGTTTCTGATGGGAAAATTGTATTTTTGTAAGCACTCATCAGCCCTTTGTGGTAGTCAGCCAAGAAGCACACTGAGGAGTATCTCTATTGTAAAGTTACATTAAGCAAAATTTTGCAAGTCTAAAAGGACATAGCTCTCCCCCTCACTTTTAGACTCCAAAACTAGGGAGGGTCCCTAGTTGTTTCTTGCAAGGTTTCCTGCTTGAGCAAGAAGATTCCTTCCAACTGTGTTATTCTGTTTGCCATGCCTCCATTCCTTCTGCAAGCTCAGCTGTTGGACTGTCATCTATATCAGGGGTCCCCAACCCTGGGCCGCAGCCCACTACCTGTTGGAAACCAGGCCGTGGGAGAAATGGGCAAACATTCGTGTGTGAAGCTTCACTTGTGCAAGCAGTGGGCAAGCTCGCACACGGGCGCAAAGCTCCACTCCCGTAAGTAGAGGGCACTTGTGCTTGCATGCAAAGCTCCATTTGTGCGAATGGAGCTTCACATGCGCCTGCCACTCACACGTCCCATACCCACACCAGGCCGGGCCGCCAAGCTGGAAAGGTTTGGGACCGCTGGTCTAGATTGCGACTCTTCTTCCTGTCTCTTATTCCCACATATCATTACAGAACTCTTGAGCCATTAAGGGAATGAATGGCATATAAATACTCTAAAATATTATGTTCCATCCTGTTCTTATGTTTGAACTTGAAAACTGTTCTCCAGCAGATGGATGGGTCAACATTCTGGTCCTATTAGAAGTAAAGAAAGTTCTGTCTGTTTCCACTCTACCAGCAGATAGCTGATCAGTGAAGGATAAGATCAAGTTTATGGAGCTTGAACAAATATTAACGAGAGCAATTATGCACTGTGCAAGTTTTCCAAACAAAGACCAATGTTATTTCTGAATATACATAAAAAGTCATTCTTTTTACAGGGAACTTGTAGCTCTCCAGATATTGTTGAATCTTAAGTTTCTAGCATTTCTCACTGGCCATATCAAGAGCAGTTTGAGGTTATAATTCAGCAACATCTGGAAGGCATGATATCCTACAATTTTGCTCCCTGTCAATCGTGTTTCATTCAGTGCCACAATATGACATAATTGACTATTTCTGGTATAATAATTGTCCCTAAATTTTATATCCAAAGAGAAGAAAAGAAGCATAGGATGCGAGATTTGTATCCTGACATATGTGGACTTTGTCAAGATTTATGTGGAAGTTGATGAACTCCTTATTTATATTTTTTTATTCACATTTTATTCAGACTATAAACTAAAGCAGGGGTAGTCAACCTTGGCTCTTTTATGACTCGTGGACTTCAACTCCCAGAATTCCTGAGCCAGCACAGCTGGCTCAGGAATTCTGGGAGTTGAAGTCCACGAGTCATAAAAGAGCCAAGGTTGACTACCCCTGAACTAAAGGAAGTGATTTAAGTCATGCTGGACACAGTGGGAGTTATTTCCACGCAAGTATAAAGCTGAGTTGGTATGCCATTGTTTTATTAATTGCTTTGCTTTTTATCTTTTTGGTAGGGAGATAAAAGAAATTTTTTCGTCACCTCCTTGCTTAACAGCAAGCTTCTTAAAAACAAGGTGAGTAGCATGCATTGTATGCAGCAGTGCTGTTGGATTCTCGGGAGAGAATTCCAAGTCCTGACTCACTAGTGCTGGGATCCCAAACCTCTGGCCCATGGCCTACTACCGGGCTGTGGCCTATTTGCAACTAGGCCCTATGAGTGGTAGGCCGGTGTGCATGTGCACGCACATCTCAACTCACACAAGCGACCGGCTGGCAGGCATGTGTGTAAGTCGAGCTGCACACATGTGTGCACTGGCCTGCCGGTCATGTGGGCTGGTTCCCCTCACACCCCCCCCCAGCTGGGTCACCAAGCCACAAAGGTTGGGGAGTGCTGCACTAGTGTAACCCAAGTGAATTTAATATCTGAAGAAATTGTTTGTTTATTGCATTTATCTGCTCCCTTTCTTCTATCTGATCAGGACAATATTTCCAGACCAACTGTAACTTCCTAGCCACTTTTCAAGGTCAGTTGGGTTGCAGAGTAGTTAATAACCCAATTAACAAGCTAGCGCTGTGACTGAATTAAGATTCTGATGTAAATCCATTCCAAATTCTTCAAATCATTATGCCTACAAAATGTCCCGTTACCTTTAAAAATGAAGGCCCTGGGCTCTTGAGATTATTAAAGCATGTCCACTTTGCCACTGCTTGCATAACCCATAATCTTGCCAGATAGTTGGAAGACAAATTGCAAGTCATCCTCAAACTTGTTAAGCT